CAATTTTAGCTTCCGAAATCGTCCTCTTTTAAAATATTCAACGTACAATAGAGAAATTCAAGTAAAAATTAAGATAACTTTTGCAGTGGTCCTAGATTTCGCACGCCACTGGTGTGTCGGCTTGAACAAGTGTAACGCGATGATGCTTAGGTAACAGTTCTATTAAATTTTCACACAATGAGGCTGATCAGTAGGGATGCACCAATTCCAATTCTAATTCTTGGCTTGGAATTGTCGGAATTGGTTAGAATTGGAATTGGAATTGGTCGGAATTGGTCGAAATTGGAATTGGAATTGGAATTGGTGGGAATTGGTTGGAATTGGAATTGGAATTGGTCTGAATTGGTTGGAATTGGAATTGGAATTGGTCGGACTTGGTCAGGAATTGGTTGGAATTGGTCGGAATTGGTCGGAATTGGTTTGGAATTGATTGGAATTGGAATGGAATTGGTTGAAATTGGTCGGAATTGGTCGGAATTGGCCGGTATTCGTCGCAATCAGCATCGATTAGTGGTAGGTATGTCACAATTCCAATGCAGTATTGACCTATTGGTATTGAATAGTATTCGTATTTGCTATATCCCTAATTTTTTCGTTCAAGGAGGGTTTTTTAAGAAAATAACGATTCTTTATAAAGTTTCACCAAAGGTTTTTGGGGTCGAGGAATTTGAATCTGCAATCAGTTATTAAAATTTTATACTTGATTTTTTCACGGGACAAAGGGTTTTTTAAGAAAATAACGTTTTTCTATAAAGTTTGACCAAAGGTTTTCGGGGTCGAAGAATCCGAATCTGCAATCAGTTTTTTAAATTTTATACTTGATTTTTTTCACGGGACAAAGGGTTTTTTAAGAAAATAACGTTTTTCTATAAAGTTTGACCAAAGGCTTTTGGGGTCGAAGAACCTGAATCTGCAATCAGTTTCTGACAATTTTGAGTTTGACTTTCTTACTAAGAAATATTTTTAGCAAAAAAAAAATCGGTTTTTCCTTAAAAAACATTTTTTTAAGTGAGAAAGTGATTTTCGTGTACTCAAAAAGTGAGTACACTCTAGAATCGGTCAGTGTGACCGTCCGTTCGTCAGGCAGTTTACACGATAACTCTTGAGAAGATAAACCGATTGTCATGAAACTTTCTGCATAGAATTGTCTCATTGATATCTCGGTCGAGTGCGAATATGAGAATGATTCGTCAAGAAATTATTGAGTTATCGCAAAAAATGTCATTATTTCGTGTGCTTTTCTATGCAAACATGGACCTATCCTGGTTTTCGTAAAAACTCTTTTCTCGTAATCAATAGAAATCTCAACTATTATATACCATTCGATAGAGAATTTCACGGGTTACAAAATGGTATATAAAACATTAAGAAACAAGAAGGTTATTGGAAAGATACTTGGTACTAATTTTTACTTTAAACATAGGAGCGATATACCATTCACATACAGCACTGTGTGATTGCGAGGGCACTATCTCTAAAGTAAACTACTGTCCGTTTCAAAATAAAATGTGCGTGGGTATTTTTTGAATAACTTTTGATAGGAACAAGATAGAGAGGTGCGGTTTTCGCCATTAGAAAGAGAAGGCTCAGAGACATTAATAAATGCTAAAATATGATTGGTGAGCAATGGACCAATCTGATGCATTCTCGATAGATATGTTGAGCACCCTTAGTCTGAAGTCATTTCTCAACCTAACCCTATTTGTTCATTTATAGAT